GGATAGCTACACAGAAAATAGAGAACTATTGATATGATGGGTTTTGTCCTTCACAGGCGATTAGTCACAAGCAGGCTGCATGTCAATAATTCTCATTATGTGTTGACACATTGTTGTATGTAGATATGAAGCAGAAGCAATATGTATTTATAGTTTTACAATGGATAGAACAAATAATTATCATGGGCTAGATATGCATTAAGGACGTTAGGTTATGGAAGTTAATGTTACAAGGGCATAAACCAAAGCACTGTTGTTCCCTAAAAGCATATTTCTCTTTCTGTGTGTGTGTTGTTCCTTGCAGGAGGTGTCACCACATTTGTGGCACTGTATGATTATGAGTCACGGACAGCATCTGATCTGACCTTTAGGAAAGGCGACAGGCTGCAGATTGTCAACAACACGTAAGAAGTCATCTGTCCTTCTCCCTCTGATGCCACGGCCTCACAAAATCTAAATGAACAGATTTGTTGTCGCACATATGAGCATGAGTGCGCACAAATGTGTATGATAATGAACACAAACGCAGTGAGAGTCAGCGCTAGTAACTGTGGAACAATCCAGACAGCAGTCTGGTCCACCCCCGTTGACTAAAACGAAGCAGAACAGCACTCACTCACTGATACATTCTGTTCCTCTTGGGCAACTGTCATCATCATAGTCTTTGAGACGCTTCAAGGCAACATTTATACTTAACATTCCTCTATTCCAGTCAGGTAACACCCCAAAAACATGTTTTTCTTTTGGATATTACTGTGCATTTAAAAGCTGCTGTTTCCAAGTTAAAGCATTTGGAACATAATTCCCACGCAGATGACTATAAAGAACAATTAATTTTTTTTTTACTGTTCCTTTGTGCTCTTTCCATCACTTTCTGCCATAAGTCTAGGCTGCTGTTCTTCATCTATAGACTGGCACTACATAGGTGGGCTGAAAAAATATAGTGAATCCGTACCTAATTAATACTGCACAATGAGAGTTATATCTACATTTTGAAACATAAATAAATCCCTAATGGAAGTAATGAATTGGAAGCAGTGACGGTTTCTGTGAGATTACAATGTAAGTTCAGAAATCCCAAATGATATGAGAATTTGATCAGAAAGTACATTTCTATCATATCATCATTATATCCAAACTGCACTGAGGTGGAAACTGGAACTTTCAAAGCCTAAATAATCAGCAGTTTGTGCAACTCAACTGTGTAGTCCAACAGCATATTCAGCTCCTCTGCTGTCTCTCTGCGCTGCTCGTCTGCCTGTGTCTCCTTGCTGTGTTTTGATGTCTGCTGTGTCTGTTATCTCTCCCCTTCTCTTTCTTTCTCATGCTTCATGGTTTCTCCTAGGAAAAAGTACAGCTTCAGGTCAGTAATACCTAATGTAATTAAAAAAAAAACTGCAGTCTTTTGTTCACAGTCCCTTTGCTGCCGCATAGATTTGTCTGATCTAGCTTGTAGCGTAATTGCAATTAATTAATACTAGTATTAGTATTAGAATAATTTGATGCTGTAACTTTCTTGATAGGTTAACCTTTGTACATCCTTGAATATAGAGCAACAGCTAATAGTCTACAATCTAAAGTGAAGGACTACAAGTGCAGCAAAAGGTTGCCCATGTTTCTCTTGCTTCTCTAACAATAGGGTTTCTTTCACATCACTCTGCACTTAGGTGTGGGATGAAATGCATTTTCTGCCTTGTAAAGGTCTTCAGTCAAACACAGTGGAAGTTTCAGCTTCTATTGGAAAGAGTTTCTCACTAAAACACAACCAGAGGACACCGATGCGTTCTGTGGTGCAGCATGCCGCTGCAAAAATATACAGTATATAGCAGAAACGCTGCGTACCACTATTTTAGTGCTGCTCACTAGCTAGCAAAATGTATTCATCCACAGCTAATACTAGTTCCCAGCAAATAGCCTAGCAGCAGTTTCTCCTGTTTGAGTAGCCGTTGTTAAAAACTACAGCACCCAGCCACTGAAGAAAATAAATTCTACTCTGAATGTTAAGCATTTCTAAAGACTTGTATCAGAATTTGTAGGCAAAGTCAGCAAGTAATTGATTATTTGTTGGCTTTTGGTCTTTTCCACAGGGTTTGTTGACAGTAAGGAAAGTACAGAATGTCATCAGTCTTATATTTTAAATGTTTTTCCTTCATCAAATAGTCATTTTCTCTCTTGCTCTGCCTGTCTTTCCCTCCCTCTCTTTTTTATGTCACAGAGAAGGGGACTGGTGGCTCGCTCGCTCCCTGACGACAGGAGAGAGCGGTTATATCCCCAGCAACTATGTGGCTCCATCCGACTCCATCCAAGCAGAAGAGTACATTATCTTTTCCGTGTTTCACTGTAGCAATTTTTCCCTATAGAGGTTTCAAGCATTTTCACTGCAGAGCTTGAATGTAGTTATATTCTCTTTCATTCTACAAACTAATATAAAGAATATACAGGCACTATTCTCATACATGTATATAAATACATACTGTACATGTTTGGCTTGTGGGGATACTCACTGACAAAATGCATTTATTAGCCCTGTACCCTAACACAACTAGTTTTAACCCTTAACAGCTGTAGTAACACCATCACATGTATTATAGCTGTGAGGACAGTTATTGACATTACCCTTTTAATTACCCTAACCTTATCCATTACAACTAAGCTTAAGCCTTAGTTAACTCTAACTTAAACCTAAATCCAAGTCTTTACCCTCAAACAGCCCTTTGATGCTGGGAGTATCATGCTGGGAGCTGAATTGTCCTTACAGTATAGAAATGTCCTCATGATGATATCACACAACCTCAGATAGACATGTAGACACACACACACACACACACACACCCATCCTGTACAGGCTTCTGTATTTCAGTCTAAATGTGTCACTACCTGCCTGCTGCAGACACTCAGCAGTATCTTCTCACTGATCTTATTCTCTGTGGCCCACTTTGGCAGGTGGTATTTTGGGAAGATCACTCGGCGTGACTCAGAGAGGCTTCTTTTGAACCTACAGAACAGACGAGGAACCTTCCTGGTGAGGGAGAGCGAGACCACTAAAGGTGAGAACAGATGTCTAGCGCTGATGCTCTTCACAGTCTGTTCATAATTATCTATTGTATCTGTAGCCATTTTGTAAAATGTTTAAAAAAAATAACTTGGCAACACTAGTTGACTGGCACAAAGAGCCTGGTCTTTCTTTAACCAACATATTTTCAGCTCAGCAAAAAATAAAATGAAGTAGCGACAGTACATTGTTCCAAGAACTATTTCTTGTACAGAACTGTTCATTTTAAATTTGAATATACAGTTAAATAGAAATTAAATTATAAATTAAGATCTTTTGCTAACTTAAGGCCAAAGCCTTGATATTTACACAATTTACTTATCAAGATAAAGCTATTTACCTAAAAAATAAAAAGCCTGGGGTAGCTGAATGGTTACAGTGTCGCACGGTGTGTGCGTGATGTCAGCAGTTTGAGTCTGGCCACCTCACACCCCACACCCCTTTCACTCCAATTACCCTGCTCTACTTATGACAAAACAAAACAGCAAATTAGCAGGCACAAACTCTGTGATACAGCCCCCCATGACAAATAAAAGACAAAAATGCTGAAAATAAATAAATAAAAACCCAACAATGAAACAGGACATTAGAAATATATAATAGATTAGTCCGCTGAAAGAAAGGTTATCTATTTTTAATTGATTGTTTGAATCATCTCTCAGACAAAAAAAGCCTCACATTCTGTTTCCACTTTCCAGCCTTTAAAATGTGATCATTTGCTGTTTTTCTTTGTCATATTGGCAGTAAATAGAATATCTGTTTTATTTTTTTTTTAACATTTCACTGTTGAAATTGTGGATCATGAAAAAAATTGGCTTATTAATTGATAACAAAAACATTTGTCTGTTGCAGCCTTAATCAAGTTGTAATGAATGGGGATGGGACGATGTGAATTTTTTTTTCTCAATATGATTCTACGCATGATGTGGTGTGTACGATTCAATTCACTCACAATACAATGAGAAATTCATGAGAACAATGTATGAATAGCTGCAGAATACTTGTACTTTATTCCTCTTTTCCCCTTTTCTTGCACTACATATCAATACATATCACTTCATATTAATACAAAAAGCAATACGTTTTGTATTGCGATGTATTGTCCCATCTCTAGTAATGAATGGAAAGTAATCAGCAGACACAGCCTTTTGTGTGTCCTGCCAGTGTAGTGTTTTGTTAGCTAATGCATGCATTATCAAAGAAAACTGTCCTCAAAACATGCCTAATAAAAACAAGCTGTTTACTCTTGCTCTCATCAGGCAAAAAGAAACAGGTGACAGGTTCTGTGTCCCTGGGGCTTAGTAAAACCGCCATTGTGAAGGTACTTTGAAATAAGTAGATCTTCAGGGAAAAACCTCATAATTAAGTCATTTGTTAACTTTCACAAAGACCTGTGGTGTTTTAATCTTTGTTTTTGGGGCTTGTAGCATCTTTCTCAGAAAGTCTGGAGCCAGATCTAGTCCCTGTGATGTAGGTGAACTCTTTGGGGAGTTTTTTTTTTTTTTTTTTTTTTTTTTTTTGGAGGATGTGCAGGGAAAAAGGGAAAAGAGCAGAGTGAAGTAGACTGGGGCTTGTTATGGATGGGGGTTAATCACTCTGCCAGAACTAGGTCAAGCTTGGAGGGTGCTGGATTTCCCCCGGCTGTAAGTCTCCCCTGTCCCAAAGCGCATTGGATGTCAAATGTGAGATTCACAGTGTAACACAGAAGCATGCCGCTCATAATGTTGCATAAGGTGTAAAAGACACATCTGATTATTTATAGGCCTCAGGATACAAGCACATAACTCTTTACCAACTCAGAATATCTGATCAATTTTGTTAGAGGTGTTTGTGCAACTCATCTTGCATAGAGTAGGTGATAGATCAGCGGTTAAGATGCTAGAATAGTGCTGTGATGACGGTGTTTCTAATGCACTGGATTTTTTTTTCTTTTTTCTCTTGAGGGATGATTGAACATCACTGAGCAAAACTCCAGATCAGAAGCCGATTGATTACTGTGGAACAACCTGTCTCTGGCCGTTCGATCTTTTGAAGCACTTCTAAAACAGTTTTTACTAGTTTGAGTCCTGTCAACTATTATAACGGTTTAATTTTTGTTTCATCTGATATAATCTGTTTTGTTATTTTATCTTAAAACAAATGTTTTAGCTCTGGTTTTCTGCAAAGTTGCTGTATAAAACAGGTGAATTAAAGGTGGTAAGATCAACCTTAACTTGGCAATGGGCCATGGACAAGCTGTAAAGGCTTAGCTGAATTTCCAGGGCCTGTAAAGGGACTAACAGGGACTTGCCCAGCACATCTGGGAGGAAACTTTGAAGCTGTCACATAGGCCCAGATACACCTGGTTTTACTGCCCTAATCTGTCTGTGTCTGTGGCATTTCCTCACCTTTTCTTCTTTCACAGGGGCATATTGCCTGTCAGTGTTGGATTATGACAATACCAAAGGCCTGAATGTTAAACATTACAAGATCAGGAAGCTGGATAGCGGAGGTTTCTACATCACGTCCCGCACCCAGTTCACCAGCCTACAGCAGTTAGTCTTCCACTACCGCAGTGAGCGCTTTATGCTTTCTAACAGTAGAGAAATGACAGAAGCTGTGCTACCTAATCTTAACCTGCAACTTTATCTTACGCTTCTCTTCACTCTTCCAGAGCACTCTGATGGGCTCTGCCACGCTCTGACGGATGTGTGTCCTGTGGCCAAACCTCAGACCCAGGGACTGGCCAGGGACGCCTGGGAGATCCCCCGAGAGTCCCTCCGCCTCGACCTTAAACTGGGACAGGGCTGCTTTGGAGAAGTCTGGATGGGTAAGAACAACACACCACCGCTTTCTAGTGGAGGTGAATGACTCTCTCACATACCATGGCAGACAAACAGGTTCTGCTGAATGTTCAAAATACTGTATGAGGATCACTTGCTCTTTTCTTGAAGTGCACTGATGAGTTAAATCCTGCTCAGAGCTGTTATAATGAGTTGATTTCCTATTAAAGAAATAGTGTGATATTTTGGGCAGTGAGGCTTTTTTGCTTCTTGTCAGAGAATTAGTTGAAGAAAAGACCAGAAACAGGAAATGAGTGTTTGGTGGTAATAGAAAAAGATCACTAATTAATTAGTTAGTCTGGCACATGACCTCTGAATTGGTGTTTTTACTCCCTCAATTTTGTTCAGAATAAACAAGGTACAGTGTCTTCATTTGTGAGCTATAGAGGTGCTTGTATCAGACAGAGCCAAACTAGATGTTTACAGTCTTTATGCTAAGCTAACCTAGCTGATTGAATGAATGGAGAATCTTGATCAAACTCTTGGGAAAAAAGTGAAGTGTATTTTCCCAAATGTCAAATTATTCCTTTGATCCCTCATTATGTCAGGGTATAGGCCAAACTTGTATTGTTGTGTTTTCGGACAGGAACGTGGAACGGCACAACACGTGTCGCCATCAAGACCCTAAAGCCTGGCACAATGTCTCCAGAGGCCTTTCTTCAGGAAGCGCAGGTCATGAAGAAGTTGAGGCACGAGAAGCTGGTCCAGCTGTATGCTGTGGTGTCTGAAGAACCCATCTATATTGTGACTGAGTATATGAGCCAAGGTAATACAGGATTAAAACTACAGCTGATTATCAAACTTAGGTGCCTTTTTTTTGGTGCTAACTAAAATATTCAAAATATGTCACACTGAGTATTTGAACCGCAAATGCTGAAAGCTGGCATCAAATGAACATAATTTTATGTAGTGCTTCTTTATCCAACAGTTTAACCAACATTTTCCTTTTACAGATGCTTTTGTGACATTTCAGAATACTCGAGGACTTTATTTGTTAAATGAAGAAAATTCTAAAAAGTTGCAGAAATTATGTTCTTAGTAAAGTATCCAAAAATAGGATTGTTGTTTTGGTATTCCTAGTTAAACAGTTCTCATAATATCCAGCCCAAGCTACAGCTGAGCTGTTACTTTAATTTATAGAAGAGCCAATTATAACAAGGACTTTTTTTTCCCACAAACGCATCGAGATGACAGCATGGTGTAAGCAGTTAACTGACAATTAATTACATGTTTGGTGCTTATTGTCCATTTGACACATTATCTGCAGCTGTAGTTTTTTTAAATACTGTAATTCTGGTCTTGCATTCACAGGTAGCTTGCTGGACTTTCTTAAAGGGGAAGCAGGAAAGATGCTTCGTCTGCCTCAGCTCGTAGACATGGCCGCTCAGGTAAAATGACATCAGGTTCTGCCACATACAGTATAACTACACAGAATTTGCACTCTAAAATTTATAATATTTTATATGAGCAATATCTTAATTTCCTGTTAAATCTTTCTTCCTTCCCTCCAGATTGCAGCAGGCATGGCCTATGTGGAGAGGATGAACTACGTGCACAGAGACCTGCGTGCTGCCAACATCTTGGTAGGAGACAACCTGGTGTGTAAAGTGGCTGACTTTGGTCTGGCAAGACTCATTGAAGACAATGAGTACACTGCAAGACAGGGTAAGTCCGCATTTCCTCTTTCCACAGCAGTTTAATCTTTCATTTCTATTATTATAAAACTGAACAGACACATAGACAGCACAACTCAGAGGGATGTAGAGGTTTGTGTACAGATGCAAAACAATAACTGAAGAATTGGACACATGCTCTAAAACCTAAACAGGTTCGTTTTATTCCAGCATGGTGCATTTAAATTGGACTCATTTGTAACAGTTTTCTTTTTTTATTCCTATGGTCCATCAGGAGCCAAGTTCCCAATCAAATGGACAGCACCGGAGGCAGCTCTGTACGGTCGTTTCACCATCAAGTCGGATGTGTGGTCCTTTGGTGTGCTGCTCACAGAGCTAGCAACTAAAGGCAGAGTCCCCTATCCAGGTAAAGCCTCTACTAACCAGCAGAGACCTGCATAACATATCCAAACAGTTCCAACTCTGACAAATGTTTCTTGAAAAACATACCTAAATAATAATGTTGATCAGCCTATTTTTAAGTAAGTCAAAATACCAAAATTTCTAGATCCAGCCTCTCAAATGTGATGATTCGCTGCGGTTCCTCAGCTTTTGTCATAATAAACTGAACAGCTAGAAGTTGTTGGTCTGACAAAATAAAATGTCACAAAGCACAAGATGTCCTCAAATAGCTTAAAGGGTATTTTCACTATTTCACAGACTTTTGACTCTTATTTTTTCCAGATCTAATAAATAATCAGCAGAAGTTGGTTTTGCATGTTAAATCATTTTATCCATCAGCTTTACTGTATTAAAATGATGTTGATCATGATTTTATTTTGAAAAAGAAACTGTTCTTAAATCTAACTTCACATTTCTCTCGGCAGGTATGGTTAACCGTGAGGTACTCGACCAGGTGGAGCGTGGCTACAGGATGCCCTGCCCGGCTGAATGCCCCAGCTCCTTACACGAGCTCATGCTCTCCTGCTGGAGGAAGGATCCAGAAGAGAGGCCTACGTTTGAGTACCTGCAGGGCTTCCTAGAGGACTACTTTACCTCCACAGAACCCCAGTATCAGCCTGGGGAGAACCTATAGAACCACAAACTGAACCGAACCTGAGAGCGGGGGGCAGGGAACCTCAACACAGAATGACCTGCACTAACCAACCTCAGAGGAACGCCTGTGAGAGTCTGAGCCTGTAAAACCCATGTGGGAGGAACTTGAGATTCTTCTGTGGAAACAAAACTGAAATAGCAACCTGCAGAAGTCCCCTCAGTGCCATAAAGGAACTGCCTCAAACGAACCTGGAGAACCTCCTCTCTGCAAGCACTCTCTGTTTACTTTAGGTTCTCCTGTAGAAATGGGGTTCAAAGGTGTAAGCAGAGAGCTCCTGCTGGACCGACTCTGGCTACGATCTGACTGAGGGACTACACTCGGGTTAATATACCTGATGTGGGAGGAAGTCTACAGATGGTGTGAGAGGGAAGAGGAGAAACCTCCTGTTGAAGAGAGAAGGTCAAGGGAGGGTAATTCAATCAGGCATGAGCTGTTTGGCAAAACCTCCCTCTTCTGTCGTGTCTCTTTACCCTCGTCTGGTACCTTTTCCTCCCACAGAAGAGCACCGCTGCTGTGGCTCAGGTGCCAAAGGAAAGTTTGTCTCTTAAAATGTTCTTTATTTTCTTCCCTCTTTTTGGCTATTTCTGACTTTCAGTATCTCTTTCTAGTTTTCTCAAGTGCTGCTTCTTCAAAGTGTCTCCAAATAACTCAGCTCTGGAACTCTACTTTGCATCTATATTTATGTTTGTGGACAATATGTGTCCTGTAGTTTAAGGTTTTTTTCAGTGGCAGACAAAAGTTCCTGGTTTTTCTTTCTTTTTTTTTGTGATTATCAATAGGCAAGGTTGCTAGAACCACTATCATGGTAGTGCCAGGGTAAACTTCAGGCAGGGCCTGTAACTCTGAAAATTAGGTCATTTCAATTAAACAATGAGGGCTGTATCTTGTTTATCCCTTCCTTTTCTAGTTGTATGTCTTGACATATGCTGAATGGCCATTGTGGCGTGCTGGATCCAACTACGATGATTTAAAAACAATTCAGGTAGTGTTTGAATCATTGTGGCTTTGAGTTACCTTGATGTAACTGGAAAGTTGCATTGAAAATGAATCAGCACTGTTGTGGCAGCACTAAAGAGCAGTTTTAATAGCTGTCAGCTGAAGTTCCTCAAAGACACGAACGGGGAGACATTCATCACACATGTATGTGACCTACTAAGAGGTTGATATGGCTACCAAACCAGTCACATTACTGTTTAAAATCCAACTTGGCTCAGGATGAGAAAACGCTGAGAGTAGACGTGGACTGTGTTCTGTGCCAAACTAATCACATTTCTTTACTGCTGTGCATGTATATAATGTTTTATTATCAAGGGACTTTCCTGAGGTTTTAGTTCTTAAACAGACAGTTGTTTACATAAAATTCCCAGTAAAACTTTCCCCAGTAAGCGCCATGTTAGTGCGTAGACAGGGCGGACACATCTGTAACTTGCTGAAGGTTTTAAAGGGTTTTTATTCACCTAAGACATTTGTGAGGTGAATAAAAAGGTGAGGTGAATTTGTGTGGCCATAAAAAATATGTATCCAGGTAGCCCTAATGAAACTGTAATACTTGATCAGGTGAAACTATGTTTATGACTAATTCTAAGACTTGGTTTTGAAACCAGTTAGCATGCTTTTGTGCCGTTCTTCTCTTGACCATTGGCTGAGTATGTATTTATGCTGTACTGTACATCAACATGTGTATGTTTACTTTACTCGAGGTTCAGGTGAGGTGAAGGGATCAGTAACAGACTTCTGAACATTTGTGCCATTAGTCAAAAATTATTTTTTAACATCGTTATCCACTGCTGCCAATTCTCACTGCGATACTGTACATACCGTAGCTCTTTAAGGTTGCTTTTGTATCATGCTCGCCACTTTTAAATGGGAGATATTTATGTTCAGTGGTTTGGTTCATGACATAGTTGATACAGAAACAGTAGAAATAACTGATTGTTGCCAAGAAACACTATGAAACGTCATCAAAATTTGAGCCATGCAGCAATAAGAGAGATGCTAACTAACACCATGAAATTATTATCCAGTGATGAGGAATGATGATGGTGAGTTTAACCAATAATAGAATGAAAAATGAGTTTGTTGTTTTATGATATGAAAATTGAGGTAAAAGATGTACATATCTTTTTTTTCAGTTTTCCTTTGACGCCATCTCTGTGCTGAGGTTTTTACCATGACACACATCTGCTCCCAAAATGTTTTAATAATAAAATGCTACTGTAAATGGGGTTTAAAGAATGTTTAGTTTTTTAAAAATATTGGTCTTAATATAAAATCAGATATTGTTTGAAATGTTTATACATCTGCAACAGACAATTCGGTTTGACATACAGTATGTACATTTCCAGGAACATATTCATGATCAGTGTTTTCCTCTTTTAAAATGGGAAGTGCCCTGTTTGTTCCGATGCACTGAACCACCTGGAAGTCGATCTACTCATGACAAGGTTGAGTAATGACAAGGTCTGATTGGATTTTCTGTTCTATATTAAAGAAGCGCCTTGGTCTTGTTTTTTTGTTTTAATAAATCTATGCAGCCATTCTAAAGTCAAAATCAATGATCATAAACAGAAGGTGCAAGCATTTTGTAAGGACTTTTTCCCCTGATGTAACAGCATTGAAATGGGTATCATGCCACTTTTATGTTGATCTTTAAATGTGCAATAAATTATATTTCAAATGTGTTTTGATAAGAGTGTGTGCTGTCCTTTCGCCTGAAAATGTAACACACTGCTCAGGCACGACTGAGTAGCTTCTTAATAAAGTTCACCACATTCTAAATAAGTGAGGATCACCAGTTGGACTGTATGCGAGGAAGATTAGTCAGTGGGCAGTCGACCCCTGCTTCCTTCAGTGGAGCCGAGTTGTTTTTGTCCACATGGGGGTAGCATTTGTCAGCTGTACCAAGCACAGAGTGGAGGAGGAGATTGAAACCCACCTGCAGTGATGACCTCCACAAAATAACATTAACCTTTGCTCGTCATGTGTGGACGGCGTGATGGATGATTGCAAATGGCACATTTTTCACAATACCTCACTTATGGATTTTTTAAAAAGCCATTACATACGAGAGGACCTCACTGGCTCACTGCTGTGTTCACTTCTCCCTCTCTCTTTTGCTTTGTGTCAAAACCCCATGAAAGTAACTGCAGCTGTTAATTGATTACAGATTAGTTCTCCTATATTGGCTTGATTCAGGGGCATTTTTGAGCCAATCGGCAGCTGATGTTTCCCCACTAATGAGTAGCTTCTCTTCCCTGTGGTTTTCTGCTCCGCTGTGATTAGGAGCAAAAATTTAAGGTGACAAGTGACTCCGGGTCCCACAGACCCGAACAGAGCACAAGGGTTAATACTGCGCTGCATTTCTAATTCTGTGTTACTGAGGGGAACGCTGACATAGTATCTCTGCCAAATTGGAGTTAACTGGCACCTGAAAAGGGAATTAATAACTTTTATTCACCTATTGTGTATGTATGCATCCGCATGCATGTATTGGTAAACGCAAAGGCATGCGCAAGCACATACAGTATATCTGTGTGTGTGTGTGTGACTGGCTGTTGTTTTTCCCATCTGCTGAGCTGCGCTGCGAGTCATTTATCTCAGTTATCCAGACAGTGTCAGAGCTCCATCTGTGAAAACAGTAAACACACTGACTCACACTCTCTAAGAGACTGCCATTGATTCCAGACAGGAGAGCACTGCAGATAAACACAAAGATATAATATGTCTACACACATACAGGGCTACAGTTACTGTTTGTTTTCATCTCATTACAATGACAGGAGGAGAGCAACCCCAGAGAGAAGCTGGATAAAAGTGGTGTTTTATTTGTCAGGTTGGCCCTCTCCTTTAAACAACCCCTGGTGTACAGTTAGCATAGAAGAAGATATCAGAGCTGTTTGCTGCTAAATGACCCGTTACAGTGAAATGATGGTTTTGTCCAAGTTTCTGTTTGATTGTTTCCAGAGTCTTTGACTGTCAATCATCTGACATTGATAGGAAAAGATTTAGCTTTGTAACCATAGGCACTGTCTCAAAAATATGTTCTGGTAAATGGTCTATAATCACAATTAATATGACCAGTTGTGGTTTGAAAAAGCTACATTACATAAATATTATATTGTTTGTACACAAAATATTTTAATATTTTGCTGCTGTAGTGCATGAGTTAAAATACTCATATTAACAAAGTTCTTAAGTATCTTTGAGTTCCTTGAATAGCACTATATAAATAAATATATGATTATAATTATTATTAATCAAATTCCATAAGGGATTCAGATTCAATAATTAGATCTGGAATTGGATTCAGATTTGATAAAATGCTATTAAACCCCATCCCTATCTAATAATATATAATATAGCTGGCAGGGTCCAATTCTGCACAGTGGATACTTGTAAGTTTGATACTTAAAGTACATTTGGTTGCTAATACTTCTGTGCTTTTACTTAGTCATTTTGAGCACAGGACTTTTACTTATAATGGAGTATTTCCTGTTTCACTATAAAGCAGATGCTCAACCACTGCTGCTGTAAAAGCTCTCTGTCTCACTGCCTTAGTGAAGTGTCAGAGCAAATGGAAAAGTTTTGGGTGAACTGGTATAAATAACATTCATTCATTGTCTAGTTTGATGATTATTTATTTATTTATTTAACTGCAATGCCATTCTTTTTCACTTCCATTTCGTTACTCCAGTTTGTCATCTTTGCCTTTGACCTCCCTAATTCTCTATCCTGTCTCCTTCTCTGACTCTCAGATATTCACTCCCTGAAGGTTAGGCTTACTCCAGTGGGTGGAAACAGACCCGCATGTTCTCCATCATCGACTAACTTTAAACACCAGCAGGATCACTCAGTTATGTGTATGAACAATCCATTGAGTTTCCTCTGTGCTTGGCTGCTCTTAATGGCTCTCACAGACTATGTACAGCTTGGGAATAGAAACGAGATTCTTTTTCATAACAGAGGACGAACAGGTGTGCACACAGCCCCAAAGTCTAATCAGTCTACCTTTATTTAGAAGTGCTGTGTTGTGGTGACAGAGCTGTTTACTGCACAGCCTGCATGACTGCCTTACAGGTTACCTGTCAAGCTACCACTGGTTATGGAGGTCTTTGTAGCATAAAGGTTCACCCTGTAGATATTACTAATACCAGTTGCCTTGGCAGAAGAAATTACACCTGCAGATCGGCTCAGACTTGCCAACAAGACCCACTCTATAGCCATCGTCACACATGAATCCTGGTGTCTGTGGAATCAGGCCCAGACTTTGTGTAGAGTAACCCTTTCACACATGTAGCACCCAACAGGAGGCAGTCTGTATCAGGAGGCGGGACATGATGCGGTCATGTGATCAGTTTGTAGTTTGGTCATTAACAGCTGGGTGGCTCCCTTGCCTTGTTTAATGACACAAGTTCCTGAATCTTGTAGTGTCTCTAGTTTGATATTTTCATTGGTGTCTTCATTGTAATGACCATTTTTCTTCACCATCGGATGTTTGTATTCTTCCGGTTTCACACTGGTCACATGATGAAATATCATCGACACACCCACTAGCTCCATGCAAATACTCTGAACTATATGCCACTGTATTCTTACATGGGCTCACTCCAGCTCATTTGGACCTTACACGGACTTTGTACCAAGGTGCTGGCAGAATGAAGTCCACGTAAGGTCTGGGTCAGCTGACTCAGACATTTGTGTTCTTAAATACATCTCCCCTGAGTAATGTCTAGAGAATTCCAGGGCTCCGGTGGATGTCTGAAAGGGTCTAGGACAGTTCTTCTGACACATAGAAGGAGTCTTACCTCTTGGAAAATTTCCCAGGACACTTAGGGCACAGTTTTAAGTGCCATGCAATATTAGAGACCAAACCCTGAGCTTATACATTCCTGTGCCTGTGAGCTGGTTGCTGTCTGCAGCTGCAGGGCTGCTGGCTGGTTAATGGATGAACTAATAGTGCCCTGGCTAAGTGATGAATGGACCAATAGAGGATGATGGATAACAGTGGAGGGAGTGGACCAGGAGCAGATGGTCTCAGTGAGGCCCAAAACATGAATGTAGCAATAAGATATTAAAATCCCAAAAAGCAGAGGGAGGGAGTGGGAAAGAGATAAAGGAAGATAGAAGAGACAAGTAGAGTGACAAAGTGTGTGTGCAGCGATAAGTGAGGGTAAAAGGAGTGAGAGCTGGAAAGAGAAATATGACAGTGTCAAAGAGAAGAAGAGAGATGACAAAGGACGATAAGATTTATCAGCATAGAATAAAGTGGAAAGAAATAGAACGAAAGACAAAAAGAAAGAACGAAACAAAACAACAAGTCTACAGCCATGCTATTCATTTGGAAACTCAAATTTAGCCGTAGGGCATTTTTATTTTATCCCAATTATGTGTGCGTGGAGCCACCCAGAAGTCAGTCGGCTCATCCGGCATGAGATTCAGCTCGACACAAGTGTGTGGAACACCCTGGTAATTTTATGGCTGGAATCTGGAAGCATGACTTTTTTTTTTTTTTTTTCCTGAGTATGCGCCACTGACCAACTTTCATAGGAATGAATAGGCATTGTCTAGCAATGCTGTATCCAGTTGTCCCTTAATGCACCAATGGTTAACTTGCAAAATGAATATAATTATGGTTTAGAATGACTACAAACAAAATGGATGTCCACACACACCTCTTCATGCACACACACACACACACACAACTGGAACTATTAAAAGAGGTTGACACGGACCCCAAGCTCCAACTCAACCCAGTTTACTCCACACAGAAACACTATGTACACTACCCTAATATCTCCAGGTGACATTAATGAATGTGTCAACATTTCTATGCATTTATTAACATCACTGCTCTCAACGCATGCAGCTGTCTCCATCTCTGACAAATTGTCTCATATTTCTCATTCCCACAAGCTAAACCTTCTGCTGACATCACTGAAAAATTACATTTAACAAAATGTTGATATATAATGCTTACAGTGTTCAACATCTGCTAAATAAATACTACACAGTGAGCTGAGGATGATGGGAATGTCACTGGTTTTGTAGGTTTTTGTACTGTACATAAACCAAAGTGGACAACCTGAAACTCTGACCTGATGATGGTGTTATGTGCAAATTTAAGGGATCGCCAAAGTTATTGCAATTTATCCTGAACATCCATTAAAGTCTGTTCCAAATATCACAGCAATCCATCAAACACTAGAACAAAAGTCGCCAAATCACCTGAGAGAGTACAGTTCATCCTCTGGGAACCATGATTTTCATAAAGACATTTGAGTCTAGACCAAAGAAGTGTATGGCCAACAGACTGAACCCTAGCCAAGCTGCTTGCATGGCTAAAATAAGATTTCACTTCTTAAAAAAAATAAGATTCACCACCATCTCTTTCTAGAAACAGTGATTCCATTATTTTGAATGGTTTTTATTGCAAATACTTTATGGTCCCTGTGAAAGTTGATTGTTTTGTAGTGCTCACTGCAATAAAAATTTCATTGAGTAGCAATATCTCTTCCTAGAAACTGTCCCTT